TTCACTGCTACTTTGTAGCAAGGCAGACTCTCAGAGCCGTACACATGCTGCGTTTTTTGTGTAGCTGTGTCTTTAGTTGTAAACCCAGTGGCGATCTGTTCATCTGTCATCATATCATACGATAAAGCCATCGAAAATAATAGGATACAGCATTAAAAGTTATTCTGGGTCTTTGTGTGTCATTCAAGCTCGGCTGTGTGTGTGGCACGAGCGCATTTTGTGTGAGCGAGCGAGCGAGCGCACGAGAGAGCGCTAACGTACATATGGAGTTGTTTCTACAACAGGGAGGAGGAGAGTCCTCTCCTGTCAGACACATCTTATAACGTCAGCTCAGGGAGGTAAAGGACTCTGAGTGTTTAGATAGTTAACTTTAGTCGAAGTTATCTCATGTAAACAAGTATTTCCAAGGCACACCTTTTTATATGACCATTATAAAAAAATAAGAGAATAACAGGTATGAAATAATTCCAACTCATACTATAGGACAGTAAAACAAAAATACAGTTTAAAAGGGGAGTGATTTGTAAAATATGCATAAAGAAAAAGTAAATCTGTTTACAGTTCTGTTTCACATGGGTGTTGATGAGAGATGTATCCATAGATTTAGTCCCTAACTTTGCTCTCAAAGTGCAGCAGATTGCTGCATTTAACTTCAACATGGCCCGCGACCATAGTTTTTCTGTATTTTGTTTAGAAAATCGACAGCGGTGGTTTGTGTCGTATACATGGTGTATTTTGCATATCTCTCAGTAGCCAATAATCTGTGAGTCTGTTGGCTCGAACATAAAGTCCGTAATAAATGTAGTCTACATTTCATAAGAGGTGTGAAACCTGAGAGCATTTTAAATCGCATTTTAACAGAATGCTTATAGTTGTATTTGTATTGTTGATTTATTGTGTGAACGAGGCGATGTAGAGATGTAGTGGTTAGCTGTCATTATTAGGCTGTTATGTAGCCTACTGTTGGAGTGGTAAGCAGGCCTATTGTTTTGGGATATTTGTGGAGTTAGGTGGTCCGTGAGTGTTTTTTTATTGGTCCTTGGTATGAAAAAGTTTGAGAAACACTGCGCTAGTAGATTGTCAACGGGGGGAGCCTCGCTGCGGGGAAATTATACAGATGGCTAGTCCGCCCCTGAAACATTTCTATGCACACGTTATTATTAATAATAATGAAAAAATTGATAAAACATTTTTATTTTTTATTTACAATTTTTATTTTGTAATCATCTTGCAACCCCCACTTTGGGAACCCCTGCCTTAAATCCCTAAATATATTGATTAATGTAGCAAGATATCTTTCAAATAGTCAATTCATAGTGACTTGAGATGAAAGAGATGCATGATTGCTGCCCATTATCAGGAAGTGCAATGGTGATCATCTCAGGCTCAAAGTGAGATCTCTCCTCATCATTTCTAAATGCACTTAAACATTATTATTTCAGGTCATCATCCTGAACCATCCCGGACAGATCAGCGCAGGTTACGCCCCCGTGCTAGATTGCCACACAGCTCACATTGCCTGCAAGTTCAGCGAGCTCACCGAGAAGGTCGACCGTCGTTCTGGCAAGAAGATGGAGGACAACCCCAAGTTTGTCAAGTCAGGAGACGCTGCCATTGTCATAATGAATCCTCAGAAGCCCATGGTGGTAGAGGCCTTCACCGACTATGCTCGGGTGAGTAGGGTTTTCATTACTCTGCCTCTACACAGCAAAAAATCTTGTTGAGGCATTTATTTGTTGGCAGAAAGTTTTTGGTGCCCAATCCCTATCTGAGGGCAAAGCCGTCAAGCACTCTGCACGTCTAGATTAAAATCAATGGATTTGCATATGCAAAAAACGCTTCTTGTGTAAAACATCTTATTCATTATGCCAGATATTTTCATTAGGTTCTGTCATGACATGAAATGAGCACAAAATGATCTTCTATTGCCTCTTGACTCCTCTGTTTAAGTTTTTTCTTTATATCTCTTGATCTCAGGTCGCTTTGCTGTGCGTGACATGAGGCAGACAGTGGCTGTCGGTGTCATTAAAAAGGTTGAGAAAAAAGATGCTAGTGGAAAAGTCACCAAGGCTGCTAAAGTTGCTGAAAAGAAGAAATGAATTCTCATGAATGACTTTCAACAGAAAATCCAATCTCAGCAGCCATACACTCTTCATCCCAATGCCATTGTCTGGCTAAAGCCATCGGAAGAAAAAGTTCGCGCCGGAAAGGAAGGCTTTTTGTAAAACTATTAGAAGAATTAGGTTGAAAGCAAATAATAAAAATCTTAAACATTCCAAATGAACATGTTTATTTTCTTATAAACACTGATTTGTCGTTATCTTGTTTATGACTTTTAAAGATTGAATGAGTTAGATTGAGTTATTAAACATTTCTTCTCTTCGGCATATGTCCGCAGAAATGAAGTTCTTCACTTACACTGTGGCACAAGAGTGCAAAGATGGAGCTTTCACCACTTTATGTGCTTTTTTCTTTGGCCAGATCACGGAGAGCCTTTTAAAGTAATCAATAAGATATTAAAATAATTAAAAACCAACAGGGAGCTAAGGTACAAACGGCTTAAACAGGTGTGATGTGAAGTACGTGCAGGTTCTGGTTAAAAGCCTAGCAACTTAATTCTGTAGTCGTTTCAAAGTTATTTTGATAAACACTAGAGGCTGTTGCAATATACAGTACAGGGTAACTTACTGTTGGTAGTGTTATGCAGATGATGTCATTCTCCTTATTTGCAATTAATTTCCTCCCTCCCTCAGAATCTACAATTGTTTAATCAATAAAAAAAAAAGAAGCCTCCTCAAGGTGTCAACAAGAGTGAAAAATTCCCAATATTAATGTCAGAGATCTTCCATCCTTTGTATCTTTATTCAAGACGACCCTGATCATTTTAAATACTAAGGGTTTAAAATCTCTAAGGGACCCGATGCCAGTTACATAAACGTAGTTTTAAGAATAACTTTTGCCTTTGTCTGATCTTAGATTGACTAATTTATTTATTTTGAGAGAGAAAGTCAGCCAGATCACCTGGCTTTAGCTCAGTGGTTCTCAAACTTTTTCTGTCAGGCCCCCCCTTTGGAGAAAAAAGTCGGGCCCCCCCCAACACAAATAGTCACGTAATGGGCCAAGTTAACATTTATTAAAATACATCAATATGAACGTGTGCATTCCTTTTCTAGAACAGTGATAATAAAACAATGCTCCATAAATCTGTGCTCAAAAAATTAATACAATTGTGCAATCCCTTTGCTAGAACAGTAAGTTATAATACTTTGCCAATTTGCCATCTGTGCAAAAAAAAAAGAAAGGAAAATGCTGATATTTGGCAAGAAAGTGTGTCTTATGGTGGCTGCAATGAGCCTGTGTGGCACTGCACATTTCTTCAAAACGGGGTTGCAGGCTCAGTGGCGGCGAGAGAGATTTCTTTAGGGGGTGCTGTGGGGTAACTTGACGTTTCATAGAGGGTGCTCAAACATTTAGGGTTTCCCATTAATGTCCCGGGTGCTACAGTGGAATTTTCCACTGCAACAATCCCCACACAAATACACAATGTACCCGCGACAGTTAAAATGAAGGCTCGATAATCAGCTCATGGCTTAGAGGTGTAAGCAGGTCTAAAGTGCTATTTTTATAAGTGGGGAATGGACCTAACATAGGAGGGTTTTTTTTTAAATATTGAAGTTAAACGCATAAATCTGGTGCACTTTGAGAGCAAAATGAAGAGATCTATGAATACATCTCTCAACACCCATTTGAAACAGAACTGTAAACAGATTTTCTTTTTCTTTATGGATATTTTACAAATCACTCCCCTTTCAAACTTTATTATTTTTATGTCAAATAGTATTTTCATACCTGTTTATTCTCTTATTTTTGTATAACTATAATGATCGGAAATAATTGTTTACATTAATCGTGACCAAAACGTTTGAGACCCAGCCACTAGATCGCTAGCACCAGAAGCTAACAACAACGATCTCCAGTACCAGTGCTCTCTCTCTCTCTCTCTCTCTCTCTCTCTCTCTCTCTCTCTCTCTCTCTCTCTCGCACGCACACAAAATGGCTCGTTCCACACAGACACACATAGAGCCAAGCTTGAATGAAACACAGAGACCCAGACGTACTTCTACTGTACTGTATCATATTATTTTCGAATTTTTTTTAAAACCATTTTTCCTCCTGGTCTCTCCCGTTCCCCCCCTGTCATGCCTCTGCGCCCCTTACTTTAAGCTAACTATTCAAACTATTTATCCATTACTTTAAAGGGGACCATCATGCAAAATGCACTTTGTGATGTCTTTTATTAAGACATCACAAAGTGCTGTCACCGGTGCCCTCTTCCTCTTGCTGCTGTCCATATATCCATTGATGTTGTAAAAAGGTATTATGTGGAGCCTTGTTCAAGTGCTTATATCCTGATTGATGAGTCAACAATAAAGCATTTCCGTGTTTATGTTCATTTGGCACATGTATTTGTTGATTGGTTCATGTGTGTGGCATTTTTAATGGCAGTGTTTTAAAAATGGCAAATAAGTGAAAATGTCAGATTACTGTGTCTTACTTAGAGAACCTTGTGCAGTGTTTTGCAAAAAGTGCCAAGTTAAATTGCAAATTGGGCGCAGAGCTGAAAATGCTTTTGGAGATTTGAGCTGAGGTTTTGCTCTTTTAGTGTAAGTTAAAATAAGGATGCTTTATGTGAGATTTTTGTGTGTTAGCAACTGAAAAAAAACTGTAACATGTCTATGTGAACGTTACGTTAGGATGCTCTCATCAATGGCGAACAAGTTATTTAGTTATGAACTGCTACATGGCCCGAATAATTTAAAGAAAAACCTTTTGAAAAAGTGACACGTATACACTTGTGCAACTGGTTGGACCAATATGTCACCTCCAAACAGGAAGAGCGTAATTATCATGGGTGGAACTGCGGAGGTGGAAGGCAACAGCATCAGATTACATTTAGTAGAAATTGAAAGTGAAAGCAAATAGACTGAATAGAGCTGAAGAGAAGGGAAGACACACAATAGCTCCTATCACTGATTGCAACAGAAGCTCAACAAACACTGGTGAGGTTAACCGCTAGAAATCTATCCATCTATCTATCATCGCTCTCAAATTAATGTAATAGTTGTATTTGTTAGATAGACTGAGGCGTGAGGAGATACTGTTGTGTTTGTGTGTGTGTGTGTTTTTGTATGCTCATTTGTGCTCAACAACCTCTCATGGTTGCAGTGATGTGAATTCAAAGATGATTGCAAAGTGTATTATTTGTATTGACTGCTATGCTGACTCAGCACTCCTCTTAATCGACTAGTGATTCATAACTGCTTCACTTTCAAAGTCCATTTCCGGAAATCAGAATCTGAAGATGAATTACCAACCTCATAAACTAGAATAAAGCTGTGGACACACTCATTGTTAGGGTAAAGAAAATATGTTGGGGGCAGGGGTGATGTAGAGTTAATTGGGTGTCTTTCGTTTGTTTCATCTTTACCAACTTGCTGTCAAGCTTTTCAAATAGTTGTAGTTGAAACAGAAACTTTACATTTGTTTAAGTTATTGCTAATGCCAAAATAATTTACATGCTGTTAAATCATGGCGATCTGATTTTTTTATCATTAGGAAAAAGACAACAACATTCTCTCTCAAATCTTTTAACCAAAAGCAACTGGTTTCTACTTCAAGATGTTCTTTCTCTGTTTTCTGTACATAAATACTCAGAGCTGGGACGTGTGAATATGGACCGAGAGGATAGAGATGTGAAGGCCGGTCTGATTGAAGAGACGCAGCGTAAAGATGCCACAAGGGGAAAAGCGAGTCCTCTAAGACTCACGCCAGCAAGAAAAAAAGTTCAACAGCAAAAATCTACAGGTGATACTGTTTTAGTGTGTACAACTCTCGGCCTGTAGGCTATTCATTCAATAATTTATTTTGTCCAAACTGCAATAGAAAATAATCCACTAAATCTGGAAACCTTAGTTTCACTGCTTTAAATGTTTAAAGTTGTCCTTTATGTTTTACTTTATAAACCTTTTGAATCAGTTTAATTGCAATCAGCAGCAGATCATTAGAGCTTTGTAGCTGTCCTGTATCTTTAAAGTCAACTTTTATAAGTTTTGTAGAAAAACATCAATGTTTTCAGCTTTCTGAGGATGCATTTCTAGGCAATCAAAGAAGCTTTTTAAATACTGTATTCAGTTTAAGATGATGGAAAATGTTGAAAACACATTAATAAAACCCACTTAATTTAATCAAAAACAATTGAAATCAACACATTTGGAGGAACATGGTTTTTCAAGGGACAGAAACATTTAATGTAATGTAATCTTTAAGGTTAAATGTGAACTTGGTACAGTATTTAGTAAATATACTGAGCTGCAATCTTATTGTCTCTTTGCAGAGGAGTGGTCCAAAGTGCTGGAGGAGCCGGTCTCCATCTCCCCGGAGCTGAGCTCCTGGATCAAAGCCAACGCCAATGAGCTAAAGATCCCGCAGACAGACCGCCGCTGGGCTGCAGAGGTGGTCAACGATTTCCGAGACAACCTGGTGAAATTCCTGCGGAGCAGCAGTGATCAGCCATTCTTCCAGTCAGCTGATTTCCTCACCACCGGCAGCTACTTTGAGAAAGTGAAGGTGAGAACTTGATGAACTTTTAAAATGTCTAAATGCAACCATACAGCTACAAACAGGGAATATTGTGACTGATAATAATATGTCTAAAATGTCTAAAAACTACAGTGCTTGTGTTACATTGTTGGTGTCCTTTTATTGTCCCAATATTTCCAATTACTTTTTAAAACTACATTTGAATTAAGGGGACACTGTTTCATTTGTTCAACTGTTATTGGCACGTTCCCCTTTCAAGCCGTGGCAAGGTTAGTAATTGTCTGCCAGAAGCTGTCATAAATGGACTTTTTATCCAGTTTTAGGCCACATTTGTACCAAACCCTTTTAGCTGTCTTTAACTCTTTATTTTTACTTTTTAGAATTTAGGACCTGGATCAAGTGGTATTGCGCCTCACAACCCCTTATTTCTAATGCGAATGTGCTTTCTGAAGTCTTTAATTGGTTTAACTCAGTGGGTGAGTTTGTAGGACAGCTTTGCAAGGAATTCAGCACCTGGAAAAAAACTCCTAAACAATGAGAAAATCGGGAGATCATTACTGCAATGACATTAATGGTGTTGGAAACAACAACCCCCATGATCCTAAAATACCAGAACATTTAGTTTCTCGTTATTGTTGAGATTGAGGGACCCCTAGTTACAGAAAATGACATATTGTGTTTAAAGTCAATGTTGAATGGGTGTCTTGAGAAGAGAGAAAGAAATACTCTATTGACAGAACACAAACAAGCACCTCCATTGTTGCTATGTTTAATCTCAGATCCACAGCCCGGATGAGTTCGACATGATGCTGAAGCTTCAGGCTCCGTCACGCTTCAACATGAAGGAGCTCGACGAAGGCCTTTTCTACCAGATCGATCTTGTCCGGCCGACTCGGGGCCCCATACAAGTTTTTCTCCTGGAGAATGGGCTCACCCTCTCATCCAGAAAGATCCTGAGTGAGACGTTTCGCCTGGTCCGCAACTTCCTCAAGAACTACAAAGGTCTGGTCATTCATCTCTCTGACTGAAAATCTGCCCTACTTTCTGTTGGACTTGGAGATTTATGACTCATTTTCTGTATATTTTGTTGACATTCATTGCTTTGGGAACCTGGATAATCCTTTTAATCGTGTTTCTTACTTCCAGTGCCAGATGAAGGCTGTCGCTGGGAGGTGAACAGGAAGAAACCCGGCTCACCGGCTGTGACCTTGTCTCTGTTCAGGAATGACATGTACAGCGACGAGTTGATCTCTCTGGACCTGGTTCCTGCTCTGGAGGTAAATCATTGTATCTGTTTATTTTTATCATGAAGAGTAGTGTCAATCTGCAGAAATGTTCCATGGTTTTTGGATTATCATCTCATTTTGTTATGCAGTATTTCAGAACAAAGTATATTATACTCTAACATACTTGATTTCAAAAGTCGTATATACCGCTTGGTAGCTTAACTAATAATAACAAATTATTTGTATCGGTTGAATATCTTTTCTATTAAAGATCTAGTTCTGCTAACTGAAGGATTTAGTTCTGCTAACTGAATTGACAAATAAAGTTAGTCAAATTAAAAGTACATTATTTGCCTGAGATGTAGTTTAAATTTAAAGTAGCACACAATTGAAATACTCAACTAAAGCACACATACCTCAAATATATCCTTCAACATATTCCGCCACTGAGAGTTGGTACTAGTGACAGCAGCAGTATTGCACATAAAGCACTTGTCCCTGTTCCTGTTTGGAGGTTCACTCCTCTCAGGGCTGGCCTCTCCCAGTCCGTAACGGACCCGACGTGGATAACTGGCTGGGAAAGAAGGTTCGCAAAGAGATCACCAGTTTACCGTGTTACTTCGTACCAAAGAGGATGAAGGGAAGAAACCTCAGCGGGGAAGCCAAAGGTGAGAGAAACATCTGTCTGTGAAGAACAATGACTGACAAAATCAAAGCTCTTCTGCATACCCTCATCCCCTCTCCTCTTTTCAGCTCATCTGTGTCTAATAAAGGCAAAAATGTGCATTGAATGTTCCTCCTGACTACCCTGCATGGATCATGAGATGATAGGCCCCTTGGCACAGAGGGCATCACCAGGTCACCTCCAATGAGCAATACACACAGACTTTAAAGTAGTTTAACCTCTGTGATCATTGTGTCTCTCTTCATGGACATTTTCTATTCCTTTACCATACCGTTTGAGTTCGTAAATGGGTGTTTCTTCTGAGGTCATTTAGTTTTTAGTAACTTTGTTTTGTTTCCGACATCTTGTATCATTTTAGTAAGTTTGTGTCTGTGGTCCCTTGTTGTAGTTGCTTTATGTCTCGTTGTAGTTGGAAAATGTGTTTTTCAGGGAAATCCTGTAGGTGCAGGCAAGACAGGTGTGTTCAGTAATCCTCTCATGCCGACTGCTACAGGAGGACATGTAGGACTGTTATTATTTTCTGAGTGTTTATGATACAGTATGTGTGTGATGACATGTTCCCATCAGTGTGTTTTTGTGTCTTTCTGCAACAGAAAGTTGGAGGATTTCTTTCTCTCACGTTGAGAAGAAAATCATCACGAGCCATGGCAACAAGAAAACCTGCTGTGAGGGCAAAGCCAACAAATGCTGCCGGTTAGGCTCTGAACTCTTTATCTTCACATCTTCGTAACATTTAGTTCCTTGTTAATCTAAAAAATTGTGTCAGGTATTGTAGGTTATAATAATAATGCATTTTATTTATGGAGCGCTTTTCTTGAAACACAAAGACACTTTACAGAGTAAAAATTCATATAAACAACACACTTTAAATATATAAAACAAAACATTAATTACAGATTAAAAGCAGTTCTGAAGAGGTGAGATGTTATACAGAGCTTCACTGAAATGAAACATCTTAATATTAGCTTTTTATAAAACTATTTATTGAGCATATTCTGTGCCACTTTCTAATAGGATATCTTAATTAAAGGATTTTAAGTTGTATTTAGTCATTCTTAATAAAATCAGATTATAAAAACAATTTTCGATTTGTATATAGTTGTTCCCATGCATCTTCATGTTTTAATGTTATCTTAATTTTCTTGCATTTGTAAAATAGTTTTTTAGGTGCAATATAAATAGTTTATAATAGCAATACATGATTTGCTATTCTCTCTGGCAGGAAAAGGTGCTTGATGCTGCTCAAGTCTCTGATTGAAGGTCTGAAACAACGTTTCCCCAAAGAGCTGGATCCCCTCTGCTCGTACCACGGGAAGACCGCCTTCCTTCACATGCTGTCCATCAGGTAGGACTTACTTCCATTATATTTATTATGAATAAAATCTGCAAAGTGCCGTAAGGTGTTCCAGCGGATGTTTTTATAAGGTGTGTGTATGATGTATTGCGCTTTGCAAGAGTTAAACAGCCATTGTGTTTGTTGCAGTTATAGTACTAGTACCTTTTGAATGATATTAGTATTACTAGTTGAAGAATTAAGCATATGCCACAGAGTCAGGCATCAGTGTGAATCCCAGCTACATTAGATGATGAACAGCTGATTACATTTTCGCATCTGATTAATAAACCTCAAACAGGGTGCCAATTCAAGCTGCCTTTCCCTGCTTCCAGTGGCTGCCGGCCCATAGGGGCGCTAGGGGGGCCGCCCCCCCTCTTCCCACAAGTTTGATTGTCATTACAAAATTAAAAATAAATAAAAAAAATATTTCCAAAAAATATATATATATTTTATTTTTTATTTTTAAAGAACAAGGTAAATATTATATAGTTGGTATCAGTAAAATGTATAATCTAAAATAAAATCTTATTTAAAATTGTCTTACGATGTCTAAAGTTACTGATAAGTCACATGATTTCTGCCTGGCCGTAGCGTGTATCATTACCCTCTCTCGTCTGGGCGCTAAGAAAGGAGCCCTCACTCAGCCCCAGCAGCATCCAACATCTGGCTGTTGCTATCTGTGAACTACACCGCCGAAACATAATTTCAGCCAATCAGCGTCGTCAGATCTGATGCTCAAAAGGCGACAATTTCAGCGCCCGAGAGTTGGTTATGGCTAGAAAGGATCCGTCTTGTGTAAAACTCTCGCAAGAGTTTGCGAGTCACGTGGCTGAATGTTTACGTTTGACAGGCAGCCTTTCAGTTACGATGATTAACATCAGTTGGCCACAGCAAATGATGGTGAGAAGCTAAACTATCTATTAATTATGTCAATTACAGGGAGTGTGATTGTAACTCTGTGTGTGACTAGCTGGATGCAAACAGGTAAACGCTGTCTTTTGTTTCCCATGCTTGCTCTTCAAAGAGCCGGGGACAGATACTATGTGCCCGTGATAAATAAACACACACACACACATATTATTGTATATAGTTGAGTTTTGACAGCATCCATCAAACTAGATTTTTTGCCTTAATGGTCTGTTTTCTAATATTTCTGTATTTCTGAACCACGTCTGTGTCTGCATATAATGTTCGTATTTAGTCTCCTGATTTTAAATGGGAATTCAATCATTTGAGTGTTCCCAAAGAACTGGTGTTCTGCAGTTTGTGTGGGCCTACTGTACTGTTGCACAGTTTACTGTAGAAACTATGTCCAGGACAAGGTATTTGGAAGTTTTGGAAGATTCATAGCTAACCACACTGAAGATTATGGAGGTATTGATCAGTCTTCTCATACCTCTAACATCACCAGAAGTCATAATTTAAGGGGTAATTTCTCAAAATGTTCCCCGTGTGGTTTATTCACCATTACAATAGCCCTACCTAAAATAATTTCCAGCAGCCGCCACTGCCTGCCTCCCATTGCTGCTTCCTCTGCTGGTCGCTAAGCGTCCAAGCTCTACCAGCTCTTCCTTATTCCATGCTGTATCGGACTGTTCAAATGTCATTTCTGTTGACATTGATGCCTTCTTTGTTCTGTCTTGTGCTAGTACTCTTTCCACCTTGAGTGCTTTTTTGACTTAAGTGGTTCTTACTGAGCTACTAATAAATATCTCTTTCTCTCTATTTCTCTTACAGTCATTTTTCTGACGTTTTATTTTCGTTGTCAGGTTTGACGACTCGATGTGGGCTCTCCAGCAGCTCCCCGCCTGCTTCCTGCTCCTCCTCGGGGCTCTGGAGGCCCACACTCGTGCAGGAGTCCTCCCTCACTTCTTTGCTCCCAACTACAACCTCTTCTCGGGTGCTGTCTTCCCCCGCAAAGCGATGTCTTTCCTCCTCCATGCTTTGGAGGAGCAGAGGAGGGAAGGCCTGCCCCTGCTGAAGCCTCCCACTCCTGTCTCACCGCTCTGCAACTTTGTGAAAGGGATATCTGATGAAAGCTTTTCACTTCCTCCCTCACCTGCTGACTCCCCATCTTCACTGTCCCCTTCCTTGTCTCCTATTCTAACATCCTCTTCACCCCTCTCTGCCAATAAGTTGGTAAGGAGAGATTGGAGAGAATCTGAACCTTGTAGCTTCACTACCGGGGTCTCTCAGGTCTCTGCTCTGGGTCCTCTCTGCTTCTCTGATATATCCACTGATAAGCCCTCCATACTGACTGCAGTCTCCTCTCTGGACACTGCATTGATGAAAAAACTAGTCCTAGTGTTTGTGGCAGCATTTGTGTGTGTCCTATTATGTAAATTATATAACTAATGGGGATTCACACTGAATATATAAAGCATCAAAGACACTCCTCCCTCTTTTAAAGCAATGTATACATTGGAAAACAGATAACTAAGGGAGTTATTCCTTATAGATTTGACAGTTTTACTCGATTGCTAACACCATTTTTTTTTTTGAACTTGCTCAGTTTCTCAGAACACTAAACAGAATTCACAAAGCCATACACCCAAAGTGCAAAACACCTAATTTCTCCTGCTAAATTACAGTTTTTCTCGATTGCTAACACACTAAAATTATACATAAAGCACAATTATTTTAACTGACACTCAAAAAGCAAAACATCGGCTCAAATCTCCAAAACTCTAAGCACGTTTTCAGCTTTTCACACAATTTGCAAATCAACATGGCACTTTTTGCAAACCACTGCACACGTTTCTCCACGTAAGACACAGGAATCTGACATAAAGTCACGTGTTAGCTGGTTTAAAACACTGATATTCAAAATGCCTCACACAGGGACCAATAAACAAGAAACACGTTCCACCTGACCAAACACCTGATAGCATAATTGTTGGCTCATCAATCAGGATGTTAGCNGTGTGCCTTGGCAGTCTCAGTGCCATAACCAGCAATATTAAAATATTAAAAGGCTTGCAATATTTCAGTTGATTTGTAATGAATCCAGAATGTATGTACATTTTGTTTTTTAATTGTCATTACAGAAAATAAAGAACTTTATCACAATATTCTAATTTTCTGAGACAGTCCTGTAAAGCACAATTATTTTAACTGACACTCAAAGAGCAAAACATCGGCTGAAATCTCCAAAACTCTAAGCACGTTTTCAGCTTTTCACACAATTTGCAAATCAACATGGCACTTTTTGCAAACCACTGCACACGTTTCTCCACGTAAGACACAGGAATCTGACATAAAGTCACGTGTTAGCTGGTTTAAAACACTGATATTCAAAATGCCTCACACAGGGACCAATAAACAAGAAACACGTTCCACCTGACNAAGAAGGAAGGAGGAAGGAGGGAGGAAGAAGGAGGGAGGAAGAAGGGAGGAAGGAGGGAGGAAGAAGGGAGGAGGAAGAAGGGAGGAAGAAGGGAGGAAGGAGGGAGGAAGGAGGGAGACCAATAAACAAGAAACACGTTCCACCTGACCAAACACCTGATAGCATAATTGTTGGCTCATCAATCAGGATGTTAGCACGATGACCACAGGTGAGTACTTTCTTACAGCATCAATGGAAGCCTACTCGCAAGTAAGAGCAAGAGGAGGAGGAAGAGGTGGGGTGAGAGTGAGAGGAGGAGGAAGAGGTGGGGTGACAGTGAGAGGAGGAAGAATGAGAGGTAGAGGTATAGCTGGAGGGAGAGGACGTGGACAAAGAAGAGTACTCTCTAATGAAATGAAATGTTATCAACCATGGTTTGACGATGAGAGAGGCTGGACAGAGGGTTCAGCCTAATCGAAGCCGATTTGCTGTTGCCTCTGTAATCCGGACACTTAGACTTGAAAACAGGTTAGTTACCAGTTTGTAGCCCTGCATAACTCATGATATATCAGTGCTATATCTGTTGTGTGAAACGTATTTACTTCATTACTGTAATTGAATTGTTGGCATGTTGCAGACTATAACTGTACAAAAATCCTGCACAATTTACTGTGGTAGACTTACTTTTATGCAACACAGACACTGACCAACCACTATATCTTTGTTGTTTATCTGAAGGACTGAGAAACAAAGAGGTGCAGGCGGAAGGCTAAGGATTTTCAATGAGGCACAGGTAGCAGCAGTTACAAACTGGGTTTTGGCAAACAATGCATCACACTTAGAGAGATCCGAAGCATAGTAACCATGTGCTGAGATGCATGTTGCACGTTGTTATTTTTGAATAAAATGTGATTTTTTTTTCAACAACTCAGATGCATTGTTTGCCAAAACCCAGTTTGTAACTGCTGCTACCTGTGCCTCATAGAAAATCCTTAGCCTTCCACCTGCACCTCTTTGTTTCTCAGCCCTTCAGATAAACAACAAATATATAGTGGTTGGTCAGTGTCTGTGTTGCATAAAAGTAAGTTTACCACAGTACATTGTGCAGGATTTGTGTACAGTAGTATGCAACATGCCAAAAATTAAATTACAGTAATGAAGTAAATACGTTTCACACAACAGATATAAGCACTGATATATCATGAGTTATGCAGAGCTAAAAACTGGTAACTAACCTGTTTTCAAGTCTAAGTGTCCGGATTACAGAGGCAACAGTAAATCGGCTTAGAATAGGCTCAACCCTCTGTCCAGCCTCTCTCATCGTCAAACCATGGTTGATAACATTTCATTTCATTAGAGAGTATTCTTCTTTGTCCACGTCCTCTCCCTCCAGCTCTACCTCTCATTCTTCCTCCTCTCACTCTCACCCCACCTCTTCCTCCTCCTCTCACTCTCAGCCCAGCTCTTCTTCTTCCTCTTGCTTCCATGTTGGCTTCCATTGTTGCTGTAAGAAAGTACTCACCTGTGGTCTTTTTATAGTGCTAACATCCTGATTGATGAGCCAACAATTATGCTATCAGGTGGAACGTGTTTCTTGTTTATTGGTCCATGTGTGAGGCATTTTGAATATCAGTGTTTTAAACCAGCTAACACGTGACTTTATGTCCGATTCCTGTGTCTTACGTGGAGAAACGTGTGCAGTGGTTTACAAAAAGTGCCATGTTGTTTTGCAAATTGTGTGAAAAAGTGAAAATGTGTTTAGAGTTTTGGAGATTTGAGCCGATGTTTTGCTCTTTGAGTGTCAGTTAAAATAATTGTGCTTTATGTATCATTTTAGTGTTAGCAATCGAGAAAAACTGTAATTAAATGATCAATAACTGGATAATACCATATTTATTGAATCGTATGAAGTTTCTTGCAAATAGTCTTGGGTTCTGCTCAATTTCAGGTTCATACTTTATGGGTTTCTTCTAGAAAGATTTCAACATGCATACAAAAAAAAACACATTATAAGCACCTATCTCTTTAAAGCCCCCTTCCAAAAAAAGGCCCAGCTCAGTTTACAAATGAGAAAAATATTGTAATGGTAGTTTTTAATCTGTGGGCGGAGACGCACAAACGGGGGCAGTATATTCTAACGAGCCTGCTATGATTTAGGAAGGGGAGTTTTTTTTTTTGCATGTTTTTAGACCAAGACACATAAAAGCACATAACATGTTCCTTTAAATTATTGATCAGCATACAATAAATCATCCTAGAAATATCTCATATGAACCCTTTTAAAGACACAGAGACCATTTTGCACACCTTAATTTGTCTCAGGAAATCATGTCCGGGGTCACAGTTCTCCTTAAGTGTATTCAAAAACATGCTTTTAGTCTTTCCTGATCTAACTTTGGTTTTACTTTCCTAAACTGTCTTTTATTTCTTATTTTCTAATCAATTTATTAGCTTTTTATGCTATATTGTTTTAAACACACCAAAAGGTTTTTATCTGTTTACTTAAACCTCTTGATTTGTTATTGGTCTGTTGTTGTGGTGTCTTTGTGAAGCAATGTTGTATTTCCATGGTGATGAGGAAATTTTTTAACGTGAAAGAAAAATAGTAGTCTGAAGTTTACTTTTAAAGCATTATGTTTCGGGAAAGTATTAATCTAAAGGTCCCATGACATGCTTTTCTGGTTATTACCCGTCCCCTTGTTATGTAGCTTTTTCTGCATGTAAACGATCTGCAAAGTCACAAACCCTCAAAGTACACCCTGTCTATGCTGCCCCAGAATGCCTCGTTGGAGATTTTTATTTTTCCATTTTTTTCTTCTTGAGTATAGTGACGTAACGAGCGACGTAACGAGTATAGTAACGTAACGGCTCCGCAGATTGGTCACACACAGACCTCAACAATGGAATTATGATCAGTAGAAACGGCCATGTCATGGGACCTTTAAGAAAATATTCATTATGTTTTTCCAGAAACAAAAAACTTTATAAAATGTTGTAACATAATAGAGTTATTTTCAGTCCTTGCTTCAGATCAGAGTGACATTGTCTCTGTGCAAGGTCTTTTTTCATACCCGTCTTAATTAAATGATATAATATTGTGTATTCTATACCATTTTAATGTTAGGGTAAGTGTTTTGTTTTGTGTTTTCTGTGATTTCCAGTAAACTGTACTTATGAATTGAATTGATATGTTGATTCCTAATTAAAGAAAGGTCTTAAATGGAACTCAATGCCTTGTGTTTTTGGTGTAATAAAGAATAAAGGGTATTAAGAGAAATATATGGCAAAAGCAAATAGAGTAAAAAAAACACAAGTCTTCAAAACAATCAATCAATACTGTTGCAGATTCCCTTTTCTTGATCAACATATTTAGATTGATATATTAGATATATAGATTGTGTTTAAAAACACAAGAATAACCTATTCATTAAGCAGTAAACAACACCTTTTATACAAACAAAATAAATTAATAAATATAAATGTACATATCTGTATATATCTTCTTTCGTCCTACTTCCTTTCTACATGTCTTAAATGATTAACTCTACATTAAAACTATGTGAAGTAGCGTATGGAGCACCTTGAGTCTTGAAAGAATGGTTAGGTATTTTATAAGATGAAACAATATAATTGTCTTGCCATTTGAGTAATATATTTTTGCTTTAAGTGCCGTAAACCGGAACCGTTGCGTTTCCCCGCGATGTCTCTCCGGGGTTATTAGCCATGAACACATCATTATAAAAGCCTCTCGCCGGAAACGTGTCGGCCTCTACTAGTGATCCAACATGGCGGTGAGTACGCTCTCACATCGAACAAACATGAAGTTGTGTTAGAAATCCACAATCATCGGAGCTGTGGGGTCTTATTAACCGCTGTTTGACGTACAGAGACCTAGACTATATCATGAACAATTAAACTAGAGGCTTATTAATGCAATACATGTAACGGAGGACTTTAAAACTAAATAATTGAGTGATGCTAACGTGCTAGCTCCTTGATAACACGGTCCGCACGTATACTTGCAGTTATATATACTCATTATCGATATTACAGCCAAATTGTGGTGCTGTGAACATGAAGCAGTTATGTTTCTACTCGTTGTGTGCGCTTTCTTAGTTATTATGTACTATCCGGAAACAAAACGTTTTGTGAGCTGTGTCAATGCTATCAGCGGAAAGCGGGGATATGTAGCGACATGTCCTCCGGCCGGCATGTGTTGATGTGTCTGTGCCAGTCTGTTGGATTTTTGAGACGGAAAATAGCAGTGTTAGGACTCTGGGAATTATAGATAATAATGCATGTTAATGTCAAACTGAAAATGGACTGTTGTTGAAACTTTGGTTTAGTTTTTTTAGCCAATGCTAAGACGTCAGCAGGTAAAGTCTTTCCTATGTTGCCCAGGTAGTGAAGACTGGGCTGTCTTTTCATTTTAAATGCCAAACGACTGAAGGGAGATGGATGTTTTTATTAATCAAAACCTTTGTAATTGGTCAGATGTTTTGATTATCTTCAATTAATAAAAGCAAGTTGGGCATTTCTTACTAAGATAACTTGCTGTTTTATTTTAACAGTAGACTTACAGCACAAGTTTCCATAGTCAAGTGTTTCTGTGTTATTGCCATGACTTTAACAATTGCTCTATGTTTGCCCTGCAGGAACAGGGTGAGAAGAAGGAGAACCCCATGAGGGAGCTTCGCATTCGCAAGCTCTGCCTGAACATCTGCGTCGGTGAGAGCGGAGACAGACTGACCCGTGCTGCTAAGGTGCTGGAGCAGCTCACGGGACAGACTCCCGTCTTCTCCAAAGGTGGGTGTTTGTGTGTAGGAACAACCTTAAAGGAGCTGTGGAAGTGTTGACTTCTATTTGTAAAATCGAAGTAATTTTTTAATGCAACCGTATTGGAAAAACAAGTGTGAGAAAAGACTGTCCCTGTATAAGTTCCTCTTTTTCTAGTATCAGTTTGTATTTGTTGGTTTATTTAAATGTTCAACATGTCTATACAGGAGTCAAGGAATAGGGGGAATCCAAACAGTTTATAGAGGTTAAAGTATTTTATAAATCAAAGTACTGCATTTAAGTTTTGGTGTTCTCTTGTTACTTTCTGCAGCCCGCTACACCGTGCGATCCTTCGGTATCCGCAGAAATGAAAAGATCGCTGTCCATTGCACCGTCCGTGGTGCCAAAGCAGAGGAGATCCTCGAGAAAGGACTCAAGGTCTGAAAGTCATGTGGTTTATTTCTCTCTAGTTCAGACTGTCTGAAGCCTTACTTGTGGCTCCAAGGGGATATGCAATCTGTACAATAAACCACAATAAAGAAACTTGGAGGGAAAAATGAAAGAAACCTCAGAATGACCCATTTGCTTTTGTTAATGAGTTCTGAATTTAAGTTAAGGGCATACTATGGGACAGTAGCTCATGTTAAAAAAAATAATGCAGTGAAATTAGGAAGTAATTGGCGGTGTGTACTAATGCTAATAATTGCTTTTCATTCTTTTTTATTTTGACATTGACACGTTAATACTTCCTTCCTTCAGGTGCGTGAGTACGAGTTAAGAAAGAGCAACTTCTCAAATACCGGGAACTTCGGCTTCGGTATCCAGGAGCACATCGATCTGGGTATCAAGTACGACCCCAGCATCGGCATCTACGGCCTGGACTTCTACGTGGTGAGTAGCCCAAAAAACAAATTCTTAGTGTAGCTGTCTTTTGATATAACAGTAAGTACACGTTCGAGACAAAGTTGTGTTTAATGTTTAGACCCTAAAGGCTGAAGGTTTTGTGCTTTACACACGAGATGTTGCAGCTTAGTTTACCTTTTTTTATTGGCACTCATTCCACAGTAGGTAGTCAACATAAAATCATGTAAATGCTGTTTGTTCTAGTTGTGTGATGCCTATATTTCCTGATGAAAAGCATGTTAATGGTGCCCTGGCATGTTTTTTTCTTCTCATTTTTAAATTGGATCTAGAATGAGAGGGTACTCAAATACAGATGCTCCTTTTTTTTCTGATTTAAGATAATTTAATAAAATGTGAAATACTTCCTATTCATAATATAACAAACAAGAAGGCTCCTGCTGTTAATTAATGGTAGCCGATGCAGAAATGACTTTAGAATTAGCCATTTATATTAAGCATAATTTTCAACCAGTACTGAAGTAAAGAGGCAGTACAAATATATAAAGTATTAAATGATGTTCCTGTGTGAATTAGCAACATTGAAGTTTTTTTCTGACCACTCCTTCCTCCCCTCTGTGTTCAGGTTCTGGGCAGACCCGGCTTCAGCATTGCTGACAAGAAGCGGAAGAAGGGCCGCATCGGCTTCAGGCATCGTATCCGCAGAGAGGAGGCCATGCGCTGGTTCCAGCAGAAAGTGAGTGTTGCTTTACCACAAACGCTAACGCCTGAAAACAGTACACTAGCTCCACTTTTTATTTCCTCGTTGGTATGGCTATTTAAAAGGAAAGAAGGGAATCCCTGGTATATTTTATAGCTATCAATGTTTACACTTATGCAAGGTCAAATGTTTATGATGGGGAGATTTGTTCTCAACACATTAAATTAAGAATTGATCATTGATTAACACTGATAGTATAATAATGATGGAGTTTTAAAGCCTTATTTCATATAATAATCGTTTAATTTGCTATCTGGGTGATTTGTCTCTTCTCTGATGGATAAACGGTACATTTATTAATCACAGTAGTTTTATAAGTTTTAATAGATTAGTATTTGCAATTTCTTGCTTCTTTGGCTTTATCCCCCTGCTTGTGCCCCTCTGTATCTGAAATTATACTTTTATAAACAAATTCCTTGCTTTTCTGTTCAGCATCTAATGTTTGTCTCGTTACTTTTTTTTACAGTATGATGGTATCATCCTCCCCGGAAAGTAAAGGACCACCCCTGGATGTTTGTAACAAATAAATGGGAAAAAATGACGCTTGTCTCATGTTGTGGTATTTCTAGGCTCTCATACCTTCAGTTAAGGTTTACTTCAAGAAAGATGCAGTGCGTGTAGTTATATACAGTATGAAGTGTGTATACATAACTACTTAGGGCTCAATATGACTTTTAGAGACTTAAAAGTTGGACAATGCTTAATTATAACCCTGTATGACTAGTGATGTACACACATTCTGTTTTGAAGGAACTGACAAACCAGAAATAGATTTACTTTCCCCATCTAGGGAAACCTGACACCTAAGCAGTGGGAAAGTATATTTACTCTGATACTTTATACAATTCTGATGGTACTTTAAATTATTGTAGTTTGTATTTTTTTCTTTTTTCTGATGCTAACATTTCTATCCAACTTCATTTAAGAGGGACATTTTGAACTTATTACTCTACTACTTTTATATGACAGATATAAAGCATTAAATGACCCATTGGAATATAAAATGGGTACATTACCAGCTACAATGTCAAAATGCTGCTTACACATGAGTGTAAGAAACAAAGGGGCAAGTCTTACTGCATTGAGGCCACATTTGATATTTGAGACAAAAATACTTTTATGTATACTTTACCTTCACTCGCTTTAAAATGCTTTTTGAACATGTAAAACATATTGTTGAATGGTTGATGAAACTATCGAACAGTATTTAAAACTTAACGTTTGATGCACCTTGACAACCAGCTCACTTTATTCGTAAAATCTCGTGTTTAACGACATGATATTCTTCTTGTATGACGACCTTTGTTTTTCATACTTAAACCTAAAATCTTTAACGCATTCATTAAAATATCCATCACTGCGTCTGGTACACCATCCCTTAACTATCTAAGAGGTAAGTCAAATCACATTAAACCTAGCTCAGTGTTAAATGCTATGCTACATTTTATTCCCATATAATTATTTGAACTCAATTACATGTATCTTGCATCACATCTGAGTCTTTTTTGAGGTCAGACTACATTTCCCAGAAGCCCAGTCTGTAGTTATGAATAAATAAAAAAAGACTTTAATATGTTTTGATAACGTTTGCTTTATTCAGTGAAACCCGCAGCACAGAGCACACACAGGGATTCATCCAATCAAATGAGTCTGTAAATGCAGCTGCAGCTCGTCATCAGTTTATCCGTCCACCTGCTGGAGTATCACTGGCTCTTCACTTTGTCTTAGTTTCAGTAAAAATTAAAAGAGGATGGCAAGTTTTAAAATGAACACAGGTGAGGTTTGGGGGGAATTTTCCTTTATTTTTAATCTTACCGCTGATTTTTATTTTCATTAAGAGTACATCATATATATTTCTTACATTAATTAATTCCTTTTTAAATCTAATCATTTCTCAGTTTACGCCACCTACCTCTTGTGTTCACTTAATCCTTTCACTTCATTGCACTTACGAAATATTTACTACATTTTTTCATTTTGTCACATTTGAGCTGCACTACTTCTGAAATATGTATATATATAAAATAAATAAAACCATAAATATAGGTTTGTTTTATTGCTGACCTGCTCCGATCCCCGTGAAGAAATACTTCTAAGTTTGCTGGTGAGAAATCTTAATTATTGCAGATTTAGTCAGAATTGGCTCATTTTCCTGTCTCACACACACACACACACACACACACTCCTGTCTTACAAACACAGTACACACATCCACACTTTATTTTCACAGTTGAACATCACACACATCTGCCTAGATAAATCTTTGTACACAAACTGCCAGTGGATTCAGTGACAAACGCTGCCTGCCACTGTTCACGCTTTCCATCCTCCACCAACCATCACCTCTCCACCTGCTCCACTACAATCCCTCATCCGTCTTTTTCTCCCCAGACTCCATCAACGTAAAACCTCCTGAGACCACTTTGGATCATGCAAGCTCTCTTTTCTTTCTTGCAAATCTTGCACAAACAAGGGCTTTCCATGAGTCTGTATTTGGTTCCATTTTAAACTATCATTGTTCCATTTGAATTGATATTAAATTGAATAGACATTTTATCACCTCAGGGAGAATTAAGGACCAATGCTTCGTCTAAATTGTGTAAATCTAGAGGCTTATTTTGCTAAATCAATTCCAGATTATCATTATTAAAACGAGTCACATCTATCAAACATATATAATGTATTTTTTTATATTTATTTAAAATATGTATTCTATAAATAATTTATTATATTAAAATGTATATTTTATCTTAATATCTGCAATATATTTAAGTAAAATAATGCTCTTAGTAAAAAAGATTATTGAAAAACTGAATTACATTTGAATTTCAATCACAAAAGTTATCATAGGCCTGGATACAGAATAAAGAGCGGACATGATCCAGATGTTCCCCTGATGTTAAACTCTTCCTCTCTATGCGGTGATGCTTTGTGAAGGAGCCATGCTGCTCTCTCTGCTGCGGTTCTTCGCGGCCTGCTGCTGCTCTTCGTGTGACGGGGTGTTGCGGTGCTGCTGGCGGCGCGGTGCGTGTCGGGGGGGCAGGGTCAGGGTGCAGCAGGAGACTCCCACCGTGGGCTCGGGCAGATCCTCCGCCATGGACCAGCTGTCGGTGGCCGGCTCGTACTTCTGCACTGCCGCCTTGTAGCGCTTCTCCGCCTCGTTCCAGCCTCCCAGCAGGTACAGCTTGTCGGCCAATGGGGACAGGCCGGCGGTGCTCACCCCGAGGAGGAGGGGGGCGGCACGGCTCCAGGAGCGACTCTCCGGAGAGAACACCTCCACAGAGAGCACATCCACCCTCTCACCACCGGGCCCCAGCTGGCTCCCTCCCACCACGTACACCTTCCCTCCGAGGGTGGCGGAGCAGTGCCAGCCGCGGGGCGTCTCCATCTGGGCCCTCTCGCTCCAGCTGTCGGTGTCCACGCTGTAGCACGCCACAGAGCGGGAGTAGGCGCAGTTGATGTAGCCACCGGTCACCAGGATGTCTCCGGAGGGCAGGGTGGCGCTGGAGTGGCAGCAGCGGGGAACCTCCATGGGCGCACGCATCGTCCAGGTGTTGGAGGAGGGCAGGTAGCTCTCGGTGGTGGCCAGCAAGCCCTCCACGTTACGGCCTCCGATGGCGAACAGGCGGCCGCCGCTGGCTGCCAGAGAGAAGTGGGTGCGGCGCTGACGCATGCTGGCCAGGTGGAGCCAGGTGTTGAAGCGAGGGTCGTATCTGGTGGAGGGAGAGGGGAGAGGGTAAAAAAAACAGCAAACCTAAGGGCCTCCAAAACCCCAACATTCTTTGGTGGTCATGCACTATAAGCAATATGGAACAAATATCCTCTTATTTTTGTTCGTATCAATAATTTGTTCTTATTTTGTAGAACCCATTGATTTGATACACCAATGTTTCTGGGTGAGAAACTTCCTCTGTCGGGAACATGGGGATTTTAGCCTGTGCAGACCATTGCATGCATTAAAACCTAGGGTCAGGGTAAGTGACATGGATCTAATCCAGTTATCAGCATCAGTTTGACATTCTATATTTGATGGACTAAAGAAAGATAATGAAATACTGATTAGACTATTCAGCTTACTGATCATTCTGTGACGTAATATTTGTCTGCTTTTTTGTTTCTCGTTTGCTTTTTTTGTAGAATTTTCATAAATAAAAAGTTCTAGAAATGGTATTGTGTCTGATCATACAGTGTTTTCTGTATTCATTCCAGACTGGTTCCTCCCTCTACCTGCTGATGGTGTTGACGGCGTGCTTGGCCTGGTTGCGGGCGTCGTTCTGGTCCTCTCCTCCGGCAACGTACAGGAAGCCGTCCATCACAGCCACACACTGGTTGAAGCTCTTAGCCGGCAGCTGGCTCAGGTGACGCCAGGAGGCTCCTCCTTCACGAGGGTCCCTCCACATCACCTGGACACAGAGGTCAAAGGTCAGTGAGTCCTTGTGTTTTATTTAGTTGGTGAATACATAGAGAAAACGAATTAAAAGCACAGACCTCGCGGCTGAGAGCTCTCTCGGTGAGTGACGGGCGCCCACCGACGGTGAGCAGGGTCTGCTGTCCGGCGCGGACCTGTGTGCGTCGGGACTGCAGGGTGTTCTGCTGGTAGGGCAGCAGGTGGTAGTTCATGGCGTCCACCAGCAGGCGGTGGCAGTGAGGGTCCATCATCATGCGGGGCACCGGCTGAACCTGACTCACCAGCTCGCTGGCCGGGATGGTCTCGAAGCGGATGTGAGACAGAAGCTCTGCGGCGTGAGGCTGGCGAGAGGAGTCGAAGTCCAGCCACCTCATGGCCAGCTGAGGGAGGAACATTCACATTTAATATGTATTGTGGCTTTTGTTTGATAATCATCTTTATAAATCAACTTCTAACAACAAAATTAAATATGAAGATTTTCCAAATGTTTTAAACCGTGGTACAGACACAGTCACACTTGTGTTTTTTGGGGAAAATACCACGAATTTGAAAGCAAATTTGCCATTTGCAAATATCTGACACAGAGTCAAAGTTTCAAATCAACTATAAAATGTAATAACTGACTACACCAATAAATATTGTTGGATAGGAAATGTTGCCTTGGAAAAATAGTATATGATAGAATGTGGGCCAAGACCAAAAATGTAGTTAAACTAAATGATTATACATTTTTATTAAAATAATAATGAATTAAACAATAATAATAACAATAATAATAATATAATAAGGTGAAGCTCAAAATAGGTTTTAATTTATCTCATTAACTTAAAAATGCCAAGGGGAACAACTAAGTTAAAAGCGTGATATTTGTTTAAATGATGGAACAAAAATGATATATTCTTTATTGAGGCTTTCAGTCATAGTTCTGACCTGTCTGATAACATTTTACTGCTTAGGTTTGATTTGTCACAATGTAAAATCCAATCAAATCGTATGCCACTGTATTTCTTATTCATAAGATATAAGAAATAAAGGGACAATTCATAATATATATTAAAGCAGGATAATAATATTTGTCTGTCCTAACAGGCTCACATTTAGTTGAGATGATAAATAGTTATGATCAGTGCTTCTCTCAGCTGTCTGTCTATTTAGAGCTGTAACAGAGTTATATATTAATAAACGAGCGATCTTCTTGCATACTGTACGTTGAGTTATACTTGGTGGTTTCTGCTCCTAGTCGACATAAAGGGGACTGACTCTGCTTCGTGGGTCTGTGTTATGCTCGGAGCAGCTGGTCTCAGGTCTGTTTTTAGGTTTGGATGAAAATAGCAGGAAGGCCCAGAGGGTCGACAAGTTAATACTGGAGGTTGCCTCCTAGAAGACCTGGCCCTTCTCCTCATTAGGATGTCAGGAATGAAAAGCTTTTCTTGATAGCGTATGCTATTTCAACCTTGATTTCCAGCTAAAGATTTCCGTCCATTAATCTTCAAAAGCAAAATTTGACCTCTGACCTGGAAGGCGGTGACCTCTGAAGGCAGCAGGAGAGCGTCGTCCTGCAGGAAGGCAGCCATCTGCTCCAGGGTCAGCTGAGTGAACAGCGGTGTGTCTGCGAACTGCACAAAGTTCTCCAGAACGAAGCGGCGGGCGGCCTCGCACACCGGCACCAGGCTGTAGGCGGCGGCGATGTTCCAGATGTAGACGCAGGTCTGCACGTTGAGCTCGGCCAGGAGGAAGTCCATGCACATCTTCAGCAGCTGAGGGATCTGCAGGGTGGCAGCGGCAGAGACGGTGCAACCAATGGTGTAGAGGGACATGTGGACACGACCCAGGTAGGCGAAGGTGATGACGTTGGCGAGGCCTGAAGACACAACGGACAGACTTAAAACCAAATATTTTTCAGGATGTAGGAATAAAACCTCCTTGGGACAAGAGGAACTAAATGATTTGAACTTGTTTCCTTACATAATTCTTTCAAGCTGCTTCTAAGTTAGGAAAACATTTTTTTAACTGCTCAACTACTCAGTAAAGTTTTGTAATACTAAAGATGAGTCACATAATTGTTGTGTGAATCTTTTTCAGGCCTGCAACCAATGTATTTCTTTATCTGGCGGTCTTTCTTGGTTAACTAATCGTCTGGTCTATAAAATGTCAGCAAACTGAATAAGAGCTACAAAACTTCAAATCCATTGTCTTTTGTTATTCAATTTACTTTCTCATAACTCCAAGAAAGAAACAAATGCTTAGAATTGGCAAGCAGGAACTTTATAATTCTGGGCATGTTGCTTTAAAAAAAAAAATAGCCTATTTTTATTTAATATGAGAGTTGGTGATAATTTGCTGATAATCAACTAATTTCCAATTTTATGCCAATTTCCATGCCATTAATTGTTTATCATCTTGAAAGTTTGGGATCTTGACTACAAGTTAAGATAAAGTCCTGGAGGTTTAAACGATATGCATTTTGAAATCTTGGCTTTAGATAAATGGAATAGGTAAATATACCGAGAGGTGAGAGGGAGGGGAGCTCCAGGCGCTTCATGCTAGGGTCTTTGGCCAGAGTCTCTCTGAAGAACTGACTGACGGAGGAAATGACCAGCTTGTGGACGTCGAAGGCCTTCGTCTTAGAGGCCAGCTCCAGGTCAGTCAGGAACCTGAGGAGGGTGGAGGACACACACGCAATGTTATAATATACTGAAATAGGAAAAAAGGCAAATTATAATGTAAAACCACATAATTAGTGGCAATACAGTAGTGTATGTCATATTGTATTGTTAATTATGCCATAACTAAATTGTATTGTATCAATAATGTATGTTATCGTAGGTGAATTTGATTGTAATTGTACTGTATTATGTGAATATTGTTGCAGAGAAATATGATTCGATCGTCGGCAGTGAATATCCGACTGGAAAACGTCTGAAGCTTTTACGTATCTTAAAAATGGTGTCTAAATTAGTCTACAAAACGTCATCACGCAGAACATTAGCCACTCTTAGCTTAGCCTTAGCGGCATTGATGTAAGCCATGCGACTATCATGCAGTTCCTTTTCAGCATCATGTTTTCTTTTTACTTTTAGCAATTGCATTTACGATTCGATATTATAGAAGTGGTGATAATATGTGGAAATGCTGCTGAACAAAACTAGCTTTTATCTTAAACATGTGTTTGCCACAGATTTTAGTTTCTGCAATATTCCAAAATGTAAATGTCCCATTGCTTTTAGTTGAGGGAGCCCTTACAGAACCACTCTATTGTAATGTATGGAAATTGTACTGTATGGAAACTCTATCATTGAAATTGCATTGTAATTAGACTGCATTACAATTGTACTGCAATTTACTGTAATTATATTATATTATATTTGAAGTGTATCGTGTCAGAATTGTACAGCATCACTCATCATATGATACAATTACAATACAGTAAGTATCAGAACGTACTTCTCCTGGCGCATCTTGCTGAGCTCCTCCAGCAGGGCGTTCCCGTGCAGGGGCCGGGTCAGCTCGCTGCCCAGGCCCAGGCCCCTCTCCCCGGGCTTGATGACGGGCAGCGGCAACGGCAGGTTGAGGCTGTTCAGCTGAGCGATGTCCAGTGCCGCCATCTGCTCGATCTTCTTCACATGGCTCTCCATCACCACCACACCGTTACCACGGTTCTCCATCTTCAGCTGGGTCGGGGGGGTCTCAATGGCAACCGGGGAGATGGCTTCCACGGCAGGCTTCTTCTGACGGGGGGCCTTCTTCTTGGGAGCCATCGTTTGGCTGTTCTTTGAAGGTGATGGCATGAGTTTACTTCTGGTTTTCTTCAGTAAAGATTTCTGACACTGGTTCTCTAAGAGACCAGATGTTAAACCAAATTTACTTTGTAATGTTTCTTAACCCTCAGGTAAGTGTTTGAGCTTGAGGTTGCAGCTGATGATGATATTGGTTAGACTGGTTTGGGATTGTGTTGGTGGTTTCACTTAAACACAGCACACAGCACCTGGAAGAAAAGAAAAAAATAACATACTTAATTTTAAGACGCAAGTTCTAAAACCCTCGGGTCCCTTTTTCATCCAGATGTGTGCCATACTGGAGCTATTTTTATGAAACTTGGCGGAAGGGTAAAGCATGGGCCATGAAAACAACCCACTAATTAATGGATTAAATCAGAGTCACAGGGCCGTGGCACAAATGATTGTACAAAGTGTTTGTTTTTGATGTACAAGAATCCTATTATCACAAACAACAAAGATATTTTTATATTTTAATGTGTTTTTTTCAGCCATCAATTTACATTTGCCCAATATTCAGAGATGTTGGAGATGTTCTTGTTCGAGTTTAGCTCATCTTAGCTTATCTTGACATTCTGCTATTGTTGATCTTTCAACAGAGACAAAATGTTACCAGACTGTATTGATTAACTTTCACGATGATAAAAGAACATGATGTTCACAGTATAGGATTAGTAGAATGGTCTGGAATTAGAATTTCCTGTGTCAAAAGGACAAAACAAATTTGAAACCTTAATAATGTTAATCAGTTATGTCTTGAGTTTATGATATCTATGTATCTTTATGTGATTTATGTATCTTTATTCTACTTGATTTACACGGTTACCTAAAAAAAGAAGAACCACTTTAAACCCCTTTACTCTGTGTCTTTATATCTTAATATACAGAGAAAAAGTGAGTTCTTGATAAACAAGTGAAGCACGCTCAGCAATGTTTCCAGGCTTTGATTCAAAGTTTCAAGGTCGCTGTTGAACAAAACAAACCCTGAAACAGATGCACATTTCTCTGCTAATCTCTGAACACAACACAACAACACTCAGACTGACACCTTAAATCAAACGGGACCCCCTAAACTCTGTTTCTATGGGCCAGCAGCAGAGTGAATGACAGGTGCGAGTGTGCAGAGAGAAGCTCACGGTCAGGTTTTTGTTGTTTACAGCCAACGTCTAGCATTTAATGCACCTTGGAAACCTTATTCATGATCATAATGAGCCACGTGTGCAAACTGCAGCAGTTTAGTGTAGAAAGAGGAGGCGGTCATTGAGAGAGAAGGGATCACATGTAGTGCTGATATACAGTATGCAGAGTAGAGGGTCTGACATAAACAAATAGTGAAATGGTGAGCATCGAATTTCTTGGATGCAGCTAAGGGAGATGTACCAACCCCAATTGTTGTGGTGTTCTTGCAATTATGTGTTTGGTTGGTTCGGTTTTGTATCTGCTGCAGGCTGAGAGTGCAACATTTTCTAAAAAAGAAATGGACATTTTGTATTTAACTTCCTATTTTGCCAGTTTGCAACATGTATTAGGAAGCATTACATTTAATAGTTTACAGGACCAATTAACCTCTTTTGATTGTTTTTGTTTTTGCAAAAAAGGTTGAACTACAACAACTAGTTGCTTACAAAGCTTTGGAAACAACATCCTGTATAACCCAGGTCTTAAGCTACCACAGCAGGGAGTGACTTTTGCGTAGCAGTTATAAATGACAATTGTGGGGAAATGTTATAAGTACTTTTCAGCATTCAGATAAAACCATAAGCCATCTTGGCAGCCGCTGAAGTCAAGAGGAGTCCTAAAGTCAGCGTTCTGGCTATATTACTGCTGTGTTGACTGCCTTTATAGTGAGCTGGACGTCGAAACGTCAGCAGGAGATCTTTGTCTCTGGCTCACAGTTTGTTTTTGTTCACCTGAGCCTCAGAGCAGATATCCCCTCAGTGCTGTGTCAGAGTGGGAATTAAAAGTAACCCCAGAGCCTATTTTAGGCTTCAGCTGTGTGCCAGGATCGCTGCTTTAAATATTTTTGTTCTTTGCTGCAGCAACGCCCTTTCGGCTTTCCGCTGTAGTCAATATTATCGGAAACATTTACGTTTTGGAGCTATGCAACCTGTCTTTTAGTTGCATTTTTAGATTTTAACTGGTACATTTACACCAAATGTATGTCTCGGTTGGTCAGTTGGTTCACAACTTTGGTCCAGACTAAAATACCTCAACAGATGTTAGGTGGATTTGCATGAAACTTGGGTCAGACATCCTCTTACTTTCAGACTAGCTCATCCTGAGGTCAAGTTTTTAGTTTGTTGAATGACCAAATCATTGCATTTACACACATCCTCAGTTATGTGGCTGTTTTGATACTAAAAGTGCTAGCATGTGCTAGCTAGACCCTAAACTAGCATGGTGAAAATGAAAACATACCCGCTTAGCCTCATTATGAGGGTGTTAGCATGCAGCCATTAGCATTTTTATATACTCCTGTTTCGATTTGATTTGTTGGGTTGTTTTTCTGTTTGTCAGCGAGAATGATTTTCATGAACTTGGCAAAATCATGTAGCATGGGCGGAGGAAGAATTTGTAGCTCATCCGTAACACTTTGTCACTATATAATTATTTTGTACTACTTGTATGGAATTTATCTTGGTGGAGGTCTACAATCCTCATACTTTCTATGTTCATTAATGTTCTTTCCAGTTGTTTTTTTTGTATTATCTTAAAATAACATAATTCACCTTTGTCCAAAATATTCAGATTTATTTTTTAACTAATGCCGTTTGTCTCTATCCTTCTTTGACCATTTCTTAGCACTGTCTTGTGACCTCTTCAATAACCTCATCTGGAGGCCATATAATTATCACTGACAATGCTAATGATGCTACATGCAGTGCTCCTCACCACAAATATATGCATGACTCTCTCCGTCCCTCTTACCACCCCTCCTCCTCATTCGCTCTGTAAGTACTCGTCTCTTTTTAAATAGCACCTATTGGCTCGCTGGGTATTGGCCTCCACACATGGGCATACCGGGGGACAGAGATAGGATTGTACAGGACGCAGCAGCTGTTGGCGGTGTCATATAAAGAGGAGGTGCACACTGTTACAGATCCTACAGGCTACATGTGGATGTTGCAATCACCCTTCAAACAGTTGCTGTCTGAGAGCCTATCAGTTCCCACATATGTTCTGCCTTTCCACAACAGATACTTCTCTCTTACTTTACCAAATAAGCCAATATTGCAGAAAAAAATTAAATAAGAGTACAGATGCATTTTTTGCAAAATCGACTACAATTATAAAAAGTAAAAGTATTCATTCTGCAGATAAATGTCCAATGTGACTGATATATATTTTTATATTTGCTATATTAAACTGTCACAACTGATGCATTTTTGTGAAAGTAGCTTGTTACTGTTGGAGCTGGTGGAACTACTAGTTGAACTACTGTTTAGTTTAGTCATATTGTTTGCAACCTAGGGGGCGGGCCCCTTAAAGGGATCACAAGATTTATCTGAGGGGTCTTGAGGTGATTATTCTATACGTGTTGTCAAGATTGTTTACATGTTTTGACTTTTCTATAACTTTCTTGTGAATGTTAATAGATTTTGTTTTTTCTGAAATCTGACAGGTTAGGGGTAAAATCACTTTTTTTGCTGCTAAAAATGTAAAGGCTGAAACATGACACTAACAAAGTGTATTCCAAGTCAAATTTGTATCTAGGGAGAACATAGTAACTGCAGCTGATCAGTTAATGTTGAGGAGCAGTATAACATACAACTATGCCTGCACCATTCTGTCCCTGAAATGTAAAATCAAGGTCCTGGAGACGTTTCCGACAAACGGACCACTTGTGACACACTGGGAGCCAGACCTCACTTCCCCCCCCTCCCCCCTACCACCACATCCACCACCAAATACTGTAACAAGCAGCATCTGCCTGAAAAACAACAACCGAGGAGAACTGATTACATTTGCTTAATTTGTCATTTGTAATTTTGCATGGATCTTATCTTAAATATAGAAACATGTTTTAATTGGTGGAGACTTAAAGGTGGGGTATGTTATTTTGGAGAAACCAGCTTGAGTGCACTAGAATTTGAAAATATGCAAATGATTGGTCGTGCTTTTTACAGCTCCACAGATGACTTTTTTTTTTAATGTATTTATTGTCAAAACATTTAATGTATTCATTGCTATCGGGATGTTAAGAGCATTCCATGGAATATAACAACAAGTGTATCTGAAATAAATTACATACCCCACCTTTAAGTAGGACAGCCATGAAAAATGTGCAATTTGTATATAGGAGCCTGTAAGATTTAGCACACAGCCCTGTGAAGAATACACACATTTTCATTTACATGTTCTTGATTTATTTTATTTGCATGATGGTACCTGTTATTTGTGCTTGTATGTATGTGCACATGTAGATATTTTAGTATTTTTGTTACAATCAAAGATATTGTTATAGCTTTATTAATGAGAAACATCATCGAAGAAAAAAAGTCTTTAGTTAGTGATTGATCTTTTCATGGTTCATTTATTACTAAAGACACTGTTGAGAACTCTACCACTATTTCCCCTACAATAGAAACAATTTACAGGATGTTTTTGTGTAACTATTGGCAAACAGACTTTTGAAATAAAGTCTTCTTTTTAGTCTTCCTGTCATTAACAATATACATTATATTTAAGAGAACTCAAAAAGGGTATAGATGTCAGTATCAAATCAGATATCAGACAGGCAGCTGGATGATTGTCAATACTGTTTTTAAAGTATTAACGGGATTTTCAATGACCATTTAAGACTCATGGGAGTTCCCAAATCATTCATAAAAACATTAGCCCAAAGTTGCAAAAGCCTATGCATAATCTAATGTGGGTAACAACTTGTTTAGGTATAAGATATGATCAAATGCAAACATCCAGCGAGACAGAAATAGAGCTCGGTTTGAATGACTGCCATCATAAGAGGCTTTATCATAACACGTGCTGCGGAAACATCAGCCTCAGTTTGCAGCCTCTGGTTTCTGATAAACATTCATGTACACCCTTAACCTACTCTGATTGCAATCCAGGGAACTCATGTTTTGATTTGAACAAGTCATGTGACAGTATTGAACCTCCCCAGTTAACTGTATTCATAAATACTTGTGTATGCTGCTCTTGCTCTCTTTTGCATATCATGTATTTTGTTTTTGCTGTTTGTAA